AAATTTAACTTCAAAAATAGATACAGAAATATTTAGGCTATCTACTTCTTATATACATGTTTGTGGTTTGAGATGAGAGTTTGTGATTTCAAAGAATTGGTCCTTTTCCTTTGAGTTGTAGAATTTATGTGCATAGAGTTTTCTGTAGTATTCCCTTATTCTTTTTCTATATTTGGGAGTCCGTAATGATATCTCCCCATTCCATTCCTAATATTGGTATCTTGACTCTTAATTTGTGTCTTACTTTTTTTTTTTTTGGTCACTCTACCTAGATGTTTATCAGTTTTACTGAGTCTTTCAGAGAAAAAAACTTCTGGTTTCATTGCTTATTATTATTATTTCTTCTTGGCAGAGAACATGTGCATCACCAGAGAGAAATAGAGAGGAGAGAGAAAGCTCCCCCCAGTGGCTCATGGTCACACTGCAATCTCCTCTCCGTTTCTTCATCACATTAGAATTTGGGGTGCACACACACACACACACACACACACACACCCCACACCTTTATGTTGTGTTTGTTAAGCCATCATTTTCAATCTGCCAGGGCTCAGATTTGAACTATGGTTGCCCATGTGGATTCTAGCTCTCTTAACCAACAGGATGCAGTGTTGGCCCGTTAGTGCTTTTAATGTCACTGATTTATTCTACTATCCTTACCATTTCCTTCCTTCTGCTCGCCTTGGATTTAATTTTCTGCTATTTCTCAACCTTATTAAGGTGAAAGCTTAGATTGTTAGTTTGAGAACTTCCTTCTTTTCTGATATAAGAATTCAGTGCTGTAAATGTCTCTCGAAATACTGCTTTGACTTCATCTCACACATTTTGATATGTTGTATTTTCATATTTTCTGAATTCAAAATATTTTCTAATTTCCCTTGAGACTTCCTCTCTTTGATCTATGGATTTAATCTTCAAGTGTTTGGAGATTTTCCAGTTACTTTCTGTTTTTTTACTTCTAGTTTAATTTCATTATAGTCAGATAACAACTTTGTGTAATTTCAGTTCTTTTTAACTTTTTAAAAAACATTTTGGCTATGGCTCAAGATATAGTCCATCTTGATGGAGAGCCTATAGGCACTTGAAATGAATAGGTCTTCTTCTTTTACTAGATATAGTATTCTACAGACATTAAATAAATTCTACAATTTTTCCGTACATTTTCTGATTTCTTTCTATTACTTTTCTCAATTACTGAGAGAGGGATATTAAAATCTCCAATTATAATTTCAGATTTGTCCAATACTTCTTTCAGTATCATTTTTTTGAGGTTTTATTTTGTTGTTGTTGTTGTTGTTGTTATAGGTTATACGCACTCATCAGAGAAACTGAGAGAGACTGAGATAAAGAAAGTAAGAAATCACCTCCTAGGGTGATGACCTCACCACAATCCCTTCTCCGTTCTCCTCTCAGGATTTTAGGCACACATGTATATGCACCCAGCATGAGTTTCACACGACTGGGTATGGGACTCATGGCCATGTGAAAGTCCGGTGTCTTAACCACTACACCATCTTCTGGCCCCCGCAATATCAATTTTTGTTTCATGTGTCTTAAAATTTTGTTGTTATAAATGTACATATTTAAGATTGTATATTCTTGGAAAATTGGCTCTTTCATCATTATTTAACATCCCTCTATCTTTATACTTTTCTTGCTCAAAAGTCAACTTTCTCTGGTAGTAATATTGCAACTCCAGTTTTATGGTACCTTCTTTTTTTAATTTAATTTTTTTTATTTTATTTTTAAACAACCTATATCACAATAGTTAAAGTTTGATCCTTGGACACAAGTTATAGTTCAATCTTATTAGTCACTCAGACAATCTTTGTTTTTTTAATTAGTGTATTTAGGCCATTTATACCTAATGTAATTGTTAATACATTTGGATTCAGGTTTTCTGCTTTGCTTTACCTGTGCCTGTTTTCTTTTTCCTGCTTTCTTTATTATTTTGTACCTTTCAGACTTACATTTAAATTTATCAAAAAAGTTTTTTACTATATAGATTTATATAGATCTTTGCATGTATTACAATATACACACCTAACTTTTTACTTTTTAATTAGAATTAATATTAGCTTTTCAAGTAGAATAAGGAAACTTTACCTCTGTATAAATACATTTACTCTCCCACTTTTTGTTGTAGTTGTCATATTTTACAACTACATATATTAACAAACCTATCAGGTGATGTATAAATATTGCTTTCTATCATCATTCATGTTTCAGAAAACTTACAGTGAGAAGAAAAGACTAATATATTTACCTAGATATTTACCTTTTCTGTTGCTCTGCCCAGTGTATCTAGTATCATTTCTTTTCTTTCTGAAGAACTTTCAAAGCATTTCTTTTGGTAACAAATCTGTTGGTAACAAATTCTTTGATTTGTTTTATCTAAGAATGTCCTTATTTTAATTCTGAAAGGTTCATTTTTAAATACCATCTTTACTGGTTGTAGAATTCTCTGTTGACAGTTCTCTCGTCACTATGAAAGTGTTGTTACATATCCTTTTAGCAATTCCATATGTAATACGTTCCTTTTCATAGGTTATTTTTAAGATTTTATCTTGTCTTCAATAGTTTGATTATAATGTGTCTGGGGTTGTACTTTCTTTTATTTATCCTATTTTCTGAGCTTCTTGAATCTAAGTCTAAATCTTTTGACAGATTTTGGAAGTTTTTAGTATTTCCTCAAATATTCCTTTTCTCCTCCGAGACCTTAATGACGTGAATGAGCAGACCCATGAGGCAGAGTGTTTGCTTTCTGCGTTCAAGTTAGTAATGTCTGTTGATCTATCTTCAAGTTATCTGACTCCTTCCTCTGTCATCTTCATTCTGCTATGGGGTCTATCCAAAGAATATTTTAAAATATTATATTTTTCAGTTCTAAAAATCTCAGTTTGTTTCTTCTTCATAACTTCTCTTTCTTTGTCAATATTTCGATGTCTGTTTATTTCAACACTATTTTCTCTCCCTGTTTTGCTGCATGGTTGTCAAGGATGTTTTACAGCCCTTCATAATTCTAAAATCCATGTCATCATGGGATCGGCATCTGTTGATTGTATTTTCCTTTTCAAACTGAGATTTTCAAGGTCATTTTATGCTGAATCATTTTGGATTACAACTTGTGCAGTGTTATACAGATGTGTCCTGCATGTACACCACCCGGTGGCCAGCCTGAGACCCCAGCACTGGTCTGCCCCATAGTTTAGGATGAAACTTGTGGATGCACAGCTCAGAACTGACCTCAGGTGTTCATCTACAACTTTAAGGAATTACTCTCTTGAACTCTCTCCTCTTCATGATCCACTTCTTGGTCTTTTAGTCAAAAGGCTGGACTTCGGTTTCCTTCCCTGGCATGCATCTCCCACAACTATATATCTGCATCTGGGCCAATCAGCAGAAAACAGAAAGAGGGAAAAATAGCATAAGTATTTGTTCCCATACCCTGGGGATCATAGCACCTTTGATAGGAGAAGGAGTGACCACTGATCCCCTCTCCCGAAAGTCTTAGGTGCCAGCCTGGCCACCAACATCACTGTTGCTACCGCTACCACTAGAATGGCCATACCAGAAAAAGCGAAAGGACCATTCCACCCTTTCTGACTCAGGGGTATGTTTTTGTCACTCAGGCAAAGGGTTTCTCTTGTGTGTTTTTTCTCTGCACCCATTGTGTGCTTCTGGGTTAGAGAATGCCTTTAAGTCCTGTTTAGGAATTACCAAAAGGCAGAGAGTAATAGTGGATTCACGACCAATTCAGTGACGCTTCAATTTCTGGATTTCTTCCCAACCTCGTTCCATCATTTGTTTCACAGAGGCCTCACCCAGGCGCCCCAGGCACCCTGTTTACCTCGGCGGGAGAGATGTCGTAGCTAGGGTAGCACATTTGGTGCAGAACGTGCTTACCCCCTCCTGACGGCATGTAGAGATTTCGTATCGTTTGTTGTTTTTCTTTTTAAATTAACACTTACTTTTATATTCAAAAAAAGGCCCTAGAATTATTGTGTTTTGTCATTCAATCATCTGCCATGGGACACCTTTCCTGGAAGCACCTGGCTGGGACTATCACCTCCTCTTTCTCTGCAGGGACACAGCTAACCGTGGAGGTCCACCCTCGAGACGCCATGCCCCAGCTGCTCAAGAAGTTCTCCTTGGCTAAAAGTACGTATGCACAGGGAGGCTGGGGAAGGACTGGCAGGGAGGGTTGAGGACAGCTGTGGGCCAGGTCCCAGGCAGGATATCTTCTGAGGGAAGAGGTGCAGTGCCCTGGGCCGACGAACTAGGAAACAGCCTGGCAGCTTCCCAGGGTGAGGCCTGACAGCTTCACCCTGGGAGAGCCTTCTGCACATTCAGATGCCACTGTTTGTGCGGCTCTGGAATTAGCCACGGATGCTGCAGGGCTTTTAGCTGAAGATACGCTTCATCACGAGAGAGCTGTTGCTTCCGATTTTGTGTTTAATCTTGCCAGAGGGTGCGTATGTCCACCAGAGAGAAATAGAGAGAAGGGAAACTAAGAAAGCACGCCCTACGGGGGACGGGACTACAACACAATCCCTTCTCCATTCCTCCCTTTTTTTGGGATTTTGGGCATACCAAACGTTCCTGGCATGTTTTTCAAGCTGCCGGGTCTAGGACTTGAACCAAATAGTTGGTGGTGTAGGATTCAGCCACTTTAACCACCAGACAGCAGGCTGGCTCACTATTATTTTTATATACCACTTGTTGACTGCTAAAACGGACACGCACAGTGCTAAGTCCTTCCCGTGCATTAACCCGAACTCTTCGCCAGGTACTACTACTCCCACTTTCTAGATCAGCCCAGTGAGGCTCAGAGAGGTGAGACGAGTCCCTGAGTAAATCGGCCAAGAAGTGTGCTAGAACCCAGACCCAGCGCTTAACCGCTGTCCTCAGGGCAGCGCACAGGCCCAGGCTCAGCACCGCGATGTCTCCTCCACGCCCTTCTCCGTCCTCTCCCTCGTCTGCCCACCCCACGGCGACACAGGCAAGCCGAAGAGTGGAGACCGCAGAACAGCTGGCTTAAACCCTCCGCACGTCCAGCCGGCGGCCAACGCCCTCCCAGGCGGCCTGCTCCCACGGCCCTCAGCAGCCAGCATCTCGGGGCGGCGGTGTGGAACAGAGGGCAGGCTCCAGATTCAGCCAGCTGGGTTCAGATCTCAGTTTTCTGGCCTAAACTCTCTTTGGGGTTCAATTCACCCCTCCGTGAAAGGAAGAAAAGAGTGAGACTGTTGCGAGGCTAAATAAGAGTAAGCCCAAGACCCAGTCCAGGCATAGTCTGTATGCAATAAATGCCACCTATTTTCGAACCCCCCTCATTCTATCAAAGAATGGAGCTGAAAACAATATAAATGTGAGAAACGCAATGTAGAAAGGAAAGGGTCCCTGTTTCTCAGAATGGCCTGGTGCGTGTGCAATCTCCCGTGTTTTATTTAGAGCACAAAGTTACTTTCGGGGGTATCAACCGCCTTTCTTAGCATTTCTACCCTAGCTCCACCTGGTCTGTCAGAGGCCCACATCATCCTGATCTGGTTTCAAATCAGCACGAAAAGTTTCTCTGTGTCCACGGAATCTAACAACTGTCGGCTCCCATTCCGCCTTCACAGCCAAACCTACAGGGTTCCGTGGCCATTTAGCCCTTCTGAGGAAAAACTTAATGATCCCCTGTGTTTTGAGCGTCTTGCAAACTGCCCTCACCCTTCCCCAAACTCATTCTTGCCCGTGGTCAGCTCCATGGTCAGCTCCACCCTGGGGTGACCAGGGAGTGAATTCATTAGTGCCCTCCACACCCCTCGCTGTGTTCTAAGATGGCAGGAGAAGCCAGGGGTGAGCAGGAGCACCAGGCTTCAGGCGGGCTCTCTGAGCACAAGTGTTGAGATCCGGGCAAATTCTAACTCTTCCAGCCGACCGGGAGCCCTCTCTTCCCTCCACTCGCTGCCTCCTGGTCTCTCCTCTGCCCGGCAGGAAGATCAGTTGAGCAGCAGGTGGGGGCTGGAGCAAGGAGGCTCGGAAAAGGATCGTGACGAGGCGGGGTCAGCAGCAAGGCTCACCACTGAGAATCTCCAGTGCTTGCAGTTCTGTTTCTTCCGAAGTGTCTTTATTTCTGACCTGTGTGATATTGTAGGTTTACAAGGTGATAAAAATGGAAATATGAGACCCCGACAGCCTGGAGGGAAGGATGCCCATGGTAAGTTCCAGGACCTTCTCTGGGGCTGTTCCCAAGAGCAGATTGACTTAGCCTCGCGGTCCAATCTCCAACCAACTGGTGGCGGCTCCCTGGGGTACTGTGCTGGGACTCTAGGGCCGCCTCTGGATTCAGGAGGGAAGGGTGTCATGACTGATTAGCAATGTCTGCCATGGACAAAAATGGAGGAGGGGAAAACCCCTAAGTTACATGTTATTTCAAAGCTAAATCATAGCCCCCAGGCTCACAAGACAGCCCGTTGCTGGGAACATTCAGAATTATGCTCACTGTAAGTGGAACGCCAACGTCTCCATGGTGGGAGACATGCACGTAAGCAGAATGAGGCCGAGAGAACAACTGTGATGGGCTGACAGACAGCCTGGGTTCGAATCCTGCGTTTGCTTTTCACTTGCCTCCCCTGGCCTCCCCTCGACAGCAGACCGGATAGCAGTCAGCTCAGTGCAGCCGCGTCCTTCTGCCCACTGTTTTCCTTTAAGGTTTACCATTTTGTTCATGCCACTGGTATTTTTCATGTATTGATGCAAAAATCATATTTGGCTCTTACATAATCTGCTCGGAAGGTAGATTTAATGAGGCATAAATCGTGAGTATTCTTAATGCTCAGCTACTGTAAAATGAAACCCAGAAAGGGGAAACTAGTCATCAGATTCTCTATCCTGTTTTAGAAATGCCATTCTTCTTCTAAAAGGGGGGAGGAGGAGACCTCATTCATGGAGCGATCCTGGGTGGGAGGCTGTTAAATGCATACGTCCACTTCGTATCCACTTAGGTCACCCCGATGGCTCTGGTCAGAGGATGGCAGGAGACAGCGTCTGTAGGGAGAGGACACTGACAAGAGGGGAGGCCCCCGACTGGAGGCTGGCTGCCTGTGGAGCACATAGGGTGGGAGGTGCTGGTGGTCTAAGTCATGCGTCCCCCCAGGGGCCTACGCAGGAGCTAGGATGGTGCTGGGCTTCAAAGGAGTTCCCACTGGAAAATGTACAGCACAGAAGGACGGGTGGGGGCCAGGAAATGCCGTCGTCCTTGCAGAAAGAGCAGAAAACGAAGAATGAGAGTGGTAGGTTGCCACCTGAGGCCACAGACCCATGGTACAGCCTGCTCAGCCTTCCCGCCCACTGCACCGCATCCCTGTTCTGGAGAGGAGCAAGCCTCATACCCCAGAGGGGTCAGAGTGGTACGGTGAGAACCCAGCAAGGCTTGCAGTCAAAGGGACCAAACTCCCAGGGGCTGCCAGGTTAGGGAGGGAGCAGCATAAGGTGGCCTTGGGGAATGCGCTTACTCCCAGCGGAGGAGGAGGAGGAGGAGGAGGAGGAGGAGGAGGAGGAGGAGGAGGAGGGGGTGGCCCATCATC